AAAAACAATGCTTTAGAATTAAGCAGTTAATCGAGAATAAGTAATTTGGCTATTAGTCGGCCTGTACAAAAAGTAACAGCGAAAATTCAATATGAAACTGGGAATAGATAGTTTCTTCCGTCCAAGATGGTCAAAACGTATAGTGATATATTTATGTGTTCTATAGAAAAGTGGCGCAAAATTGGGCCAAATTAAAGGGAACAATACAAAAGTCAGTTGTAATTTGTGACGTGTTATACGAAACTTGTTTTATTACTGTTCGCAGATTTCCTTAGTGTACAAAATTTACTAAAAAGTCGACTCAACTAAATTTAAAAATAAATTTGAGTTGGTAAATTTTTGTCACAGGTGTTTTACTGAAGGGATTGTGTTAGAATGTTAGAGAGATTTGTATGTTATACGCGATCAGATAATGTGAGTGTTTAAGAACAGGGAGCTGAAGGGAGTATTTATAGATTGACGTTGTATATATTTACATTTAGAGGAAATTCGTAATTTGTACTTTTCTTATACTATTGTCGTGATGAGATATGACGGGCATTTGGCACACATTGAACAAAAGCACTTCTTGACCTATTCAGTGGAGCCACTGGTGGTTTGAGACAGAAAAAGTTTGTTGTTCTGATTTTAGGTTTTACGAACACATGCGGATATTGAGTCCATGTATGTCATGAGGTTTTTATTTCCTACTCTGTAAAAATGTATTTCAATTTTCGCATTACCATAAAATCACTGCACACATAAGTTTCTGTTTTAATACTAAGCGTAATAAAAATCTAGAGGCAACATATGAAGAACTTCGAAATTTAGAACTCATATGGTTGTATTAAAAACATTAAGGATTCAGACTGGAAGGGCTTTCCTGGTTTCAGTCGAAGGTACTTTAGTTAATTTAAAATAAATTAATTTGTTAGACCAATTTTTCAATATGTATAAAATAGATTCTGATACTCCCGAAGTCTCAGACTGGTCAACATCTAAATAATTTCTTGATATTAATCTTCATTTCTTGCAGTTTCGTCTTCTTTCTTATAGGAATTCAAAGAATTTATTGATGCGGAATATCTAATGCCACTGCCGACGAGCGACTTTCGAAACCCAGTGTGTCTCGAGATGAAGAAACTGAAGAGCGGATACTGGGCACAAGCGGCTGGTGGCGGCGGCAATAACGTGCCGATGAGTATTGACCTGAGTGGGGCAAATAAGATCGGAGCCAACAACAATAACAACGGAGACCTCGGAAGCGTCGACAGTTCCGACACCTACGCAAGTTGCAACACGCATCCGTTCCACTCCCAAGGAGACCTTACGTCCGACATCATGGACCCAAGTTGTGCTATAGTGGACCTCGTGCTGGACAGCAATCTCTATGTGAATCCACTGGACAGCCAGAGGAGCACAGACAATAGTCCACTTCAGCAGCAACAGCAGCCTCTGGTGTTGTCTACTCTGCCGACAAGTAGAGGCAACATGGGGGTCGTCAAGAAGAGTGCGTCTGGGGACACGGCTCTGCGAAGTCTGGGCGCTTCCCCCATGGAAGAGTCCTTCAAGGGATTTGGTGTCGTTGCGTCTGAGAGGGGGAGCAGAGGCAGTCTTAATGACACTCCTCTTCCTAAACACAGGAAAACGAGGTTCCAGCAGGTACGTCAACTGGTTCTTAGTGTTTTAATAGTTTGGGAAGTTTTTGTCTTTGCGTTCTGTCAACAAGTTGAGTCCAATTGATTAACAGTTTGTCCAGTATAAGCCCTGTTTATAGTTATTCTAACCCTTTAAAGCTTATTGGCAACAGTATTTTCCACCCGTTTTACCAATAAAAAATTCTGCATTTTGCCTACAGACTGCATTTTATGGTTTGTATAATTCTCCTACTAAACAACGATATCATTGAACAACATTAATAGATTGATTCTTTTAGTCAGACTTCGATATAAATCCAACAAGTTAGAGCAGAGATTTCTGAGAATATTTTCAGGAAAAGGAATACAATTAAATGAATCCAAACTAACGCCAGAAGTCGAAAATATGGACTGTTCTTTGCAGCAGGCGTAAGTGACGTTGTTGTTTGTTGCTAGGGTGTTAAGCCTCGGACGAGGTTCGGGGAGCCAGAACGGGCAACGGGAGATTCCCAGGAGAGCCTTGACACCAAACACCGAGGTTCTAGCAAGAGGTCCAGCTTCATGTCCACGCGCAGCATCGCCTCGGCAACAAGACTCATCAACCAGCATCTGTTCGGGATTCAGACCCTCGGAGGTTTGACTGAATGACTTGCCCTTCTAGCTAGAATCACTGCCAACTAAAACACTGGATATTATAACTCTATGATCTTGGGTTATTTAACTAGGCTGTTTCAACTGCACAGGTTACACATCACTGAGCGAGATGGGAAGAAGATTGCGAGTCATACTTAGAACTACGCGATCGTGTTCTGTTTAAAAGTTCATACTATTCAAGAATTCATTGAAATTTTTTGAAGATATATCTGTCAAATTTGACGTAGTGAGGATCTGTATCAATTAAAATTAACAGAAAGACGCGTTATTATGTAGACCGAATGGTTTAAAGAAAAGCAGTCTTCCGAAGTTCTTAGCGGAGCTTAAAGTTATTCGTAACAAGTAAATCTGTGAAGATTTCTGTCTTCTGGGTTATTGCGCTGTGTAGTCTGGTCGATGTTAACCAACGTTTCAGAGGTCATACTGCCTCCGTCATCAGGGCGATGATCGCCCTGATGACGGAGGCAGTATCACCTCTGAAACGTTGGGAAACTTCTACCAGACTACACAGCGCAATAACCCAGAAGACAGAAATCTTCATACTCACCGCTGTGAGAACCTCAAGTCTTACAAGTAAATCTGTATAGTGCACTTTTCCTCAAGTTAACTAAACATTTGTTTCTTCTATTCAAAGCATTACGAATTTTCTGAATTACTAATTTGTTCAACTTACTGGCACAACCACATGTTTTGTATGTGGTATCTTTTTTGCCTGGTTTAGCAATTTTTGAGCTCTTAACGGTATATATAATTATATTATGCACGATCCAATAACATTTTTTCGGGTGATCAGCCGCGTCAGATGGTTAAACAATGCGTCCGACGTTTCAGGAACCATCTGTATCCATCACCAGGGTTCTGACGCGGCTGATCAGCGGAGAAAATTTTATTGCGTTATGTCGCCTCGAAAGCTTAAAATCATATATTATGCAATCATATACCTACTACAGGATACTCAAATTCAACATCACTAATGTATTTGTATGATTTCCTTTCAGAGAATTAGACTGACTTGAAATACATTATAATAACTGTCTGAGAGAAACAAATGTGCGATACTCCAACGCAATACTCCTTTCCACACTTGTTTAAAAGTAAAGAAAAAGCTAATTACCGGCCCCATAGAAATCTACATAGAACTAACATTAACATAGAAGCATCTAAAATGCAGCTAGCAAAGATAAGGACGAGCTGATGCATCTTCCGAGCGAAGTTCACGCGAAGCACCGTGTTCAGCAAAAACGTGATTAGAATTCTGTTTAAAATGACGGGGCATTATACAGTTCTTCATAACCAATCCTCATCACGTGCACTGTTATCTGCACTGATAATTACCACTCACGGGTCGATCTCTACTCATACCCTCGACTGCCTCTTCACCCCAATTCGTCTTCATATAGCAACATCACGTGACTCCTGGGTATTACATTACCTTGTAGAACACACATTTTGCTGTACTATCTGAGGTGCCATCATCTTCATTTCTCATTACTCCTTCTAAAATAGTCTCAGAAGGAGCCGTATTATCAGATTTTCGGTCTTTTTATTCAGACTGTACGTTTATCAGCCACAGTCGTGCTTCAAGACCTAAGATGATTATAAAATGGTCGTTAGCGTTTATCGCTCGAACAGATATTTCCACCCAGAGATCACTCCTGCTCCAGAATGTGTTTTAGTCACAGGGATAGCATACGTGTTCAATCTACCTCTGCCTGTGGATGAAAGCACTTATAAGTAGTGAGAAGAAAAGAGAAGATGGCTACTACTATATTTAAGTGCTGTGCATAACGTAAGAAAACATTGTCTTGGTGTTTCATGAATAATCAACGCCTCATTGCTACAACGAAACTAAACTTGATATTATGCTTTTGACTACATCTGCACATACTTTGTCAGCTACAAGTAGTTTCTTCGTGAAATTATTCTTTTTTACGTTGCACCGTGTAGTCTGCTAGAAATTCACGGACGAATGGTGCTTACTGCTATCACAGGCTGATTACTCTGATGGTGGAGGCAGTAAGCAACATTGAAATGTTGTTTAGTTCCTAAAATAATAAACGACGCGACATTTTCATACTCACAGCTGTGAGAACCCAAAATCTCAACCACTTCTTTTCACGAGTTGCGAGAGTTAACGCAAGGTGTCATATCGTATCCTTATTCTTTACATCTGTGCACTGTTCAAATTCAAAGTTGACACTAGCACAATTGTTCAGGTGTGTTGGCAGTTTTTTGGACAAGGTATTCTAACAATTTTTATAAAGAAAACATAAAAAACCCTCTCAGGTAGTAGTAAGAGGAAACAGGGTAATTTTCCTTACGTTCATGAGTCCTCTACCAGAATACAGGAAAACTTTTTAACCCTTCGCGTATGAATTCCAAGGAAAGAGGCAAAAATTGTATACACATCTCTGCGAAAGCCAGAAATTCTACACCAGAAGGGTGCATATTTTCAAACACGCAAGTTAATTTGCTACATGTTTTTTCCCCAAAGGACATAACTGATACCTACAGTCTAATTTTCCGAAAATAAACCTTTATTTCTTTGTTCATAAAATTATAATCGATAGCCTTTATTAGTAGTTTAAACATTATGGCACAAATATCTGTCTCACGACTTATACATTAACATTTACATGCATGGATAAAACAATTTTTAGAGCCTTGTTATCGCATTTTGATTTCGTGCATCCTCAGTTTACAAAAGAATATATTTCCCTCAGAGCCTTTCAGTGTACTAATGCTACCAGTTCCTTTAATTGTTATATTTTACCTGATGATGATGATACTTTATTTAGTCCTCAGTGGTCTTACGAAACTACGAAATAGTCGTGTAAGATTTGCGGTTTTCACAGCGGTGGGTATGAAGATTTCTGTCTTCTGGGTTGAATCGCCCTGATGACGGAGGCAGTATGGCCTCTGAAACGTTGGTAAACATCGACCAGATTACACAGCGCAACAACCCAGAAGACAGAAATCATCTTTACGAAATAGTCCTTTCACTAGCAGTTACTTCAGTTCTTTGATACTGTAATGTGTTTCGTTGTGTTCAGGTAAGGAAGGAGGCAGCAAATCATCACTGTCAGTGGATTCCATTGACAGCAGGACAAGTCCTACACTGGATCAAAATCGTCGTTCGAAGTCCATCCTGAAGAAATCGGACAGTAGCGGACATCACAGGAACGGACGTTCAGCAGATCCAGAAACAGAGAAACTGATTTCGGACAATACTTCTGGTGCCAGCATGTCTGACAATGGTGGTGGGGGGTGTGGTACTGGGCCAGATTCTGAATATTCACCCAACAAACTGCCTGTCCCAGCAGCTACTGTATCGCCTCCAGCGACACCCGCCATGGCACGACATCCTCCAAAGCTACAACACTTTCGTGGCATAGGGCCTAAATCTGGTATGAAACCCCATGCTCTTCCTATAAAGTTCGTAGGACTAAGTCAAGAGGGCGACAAGACACGGAGGTTAAAATCGCCACTCCTTGTGTTGGACGACTTTCTTGGCGGTGAAAAGCACGCTCGAGACGAAGCGGCGGTTGAGAACAAATACAAGGAAAGACTGGAGGCGGTTGTGGGAGGGTGTGTGTCGGCGCCAGGGGATGGTGGTTGTTGCGGTGCTGTAGAAATGGCATCACCTTTGTACATATGCCCCCCGCCACCGCCTGCAGTGGATGATCACTCGCCCACCGAGGAGACCAAGTTACTGCTACACCAGACGGCAGTGGAGCTAATGCCACCTATCGGGCGACATCAAGGTGGTGGCGCTGTAGCCGGAAGTGGCGAGCAAAGGACGAAACAGAAGCAGGAGCTACCTACATCGTAGCAGTCACTGGTATGACAGCAATCATAGACGTCGACTCTGTTGGTGTGACCAAAAGCTGTTGTTTGTTTCCAGTTTTCTTTGAATCTATTGTTTAATTTTTGTTTCAGCAGCGGTCATCTCTCTGCTATGCCAGATTCAACTACTATACGAGTGACGCTGTAATTTCTTTCTGGTGGTGGAACAAAGTGGTTTGATAGTCAGCAGAGAGATGTCACCAGGTACTGGATAAACAAGACGGCAAGAGAGGTAACAGCTGGTTAACACAACCACATGTGATTTGTTTGGAACATTTTCGAAAATTAAATGTGAAATTATCTCAGTCAGATTAACTTCAGTGATATGAGGTTTCATAAGAAATGGATGTTTACCCATAAAGAAACTATTAAAGCAGAAAACAAATTATAGTCTTTTGTATACAGAAACAAGGCATGAACATTCTTCTAGACATCATTATCATGATAAGAATGAAAGAAAACATCCACTCTGATTAAATCAACCTTTTCCAATTGAAGTTCATTCCAAATGTACTAAATAAAATGTACCCATCAGGACTACAAGGCATAGAAACAAATCTTAATGTGAGTGTGCACCAAAGAAGCACTTGTGGTCATGGCAGGAAAATGATTTCTCTGTAATGGAAAAGGTGTAGTATAAATTTAACACAATAAACAAATAATACTGATGAACACTGCAGAGGCTTGGACAAAGAGAGCTAGTTACTGGATACAAGAATGTAAAAGGCCTCTGGTAACTTGCTGTGACACAAATAAGACTGAATTACCAGCCAGTTCTGACAATTACAAGTGATTATCATCTAGGCACTAAACATTCTTGCCCAAAACTGAGGAACTATTTTCCATTTAAATGAAAGCCTAGGCACAGTCAGAATGGAATTACATCAAAGGAGTAACCTTTTGTATAACATACTAAAATTGGCAATAAGAGGTTAAAAATAATTGTCTGATTACAAAATGTGGCTGGTATTGCTTTAGTTTTATTTATTTGTTTGAACATTGTGCTTTGGACACATTCTCACATGTTTGATACACAAATAGTTATTATGGTCATATTCCAAAAAATATGAAGTGCCGTAAGAAGTGTTGGAAGACTGCAATTGAATGAGAATTTTATGATTCACAAGTGAAAATCTGCCAACATTTTTTGACTGGAATGGATGCTAGATGCAAAACCTGGAGAGACTTACATATACACAGTAAACAATCAATACAGTCCCAGGTAGTGAGATCTGTTATTATGAAATTCATCTGACTGAAACAAAATATCTCCATTGTTCAAGAACATATGAAATCTAAAACATTCTGATTGCAAGCAATATTATTGATGGCAAAGCATTATTTTAGTAGTGTTGTTAATGGTTGCAAAAGAAAGGGAAGTTTGCAAAAGCTTATTTCTGCCTGTGATTCTTTTTTGTAATAAACTAATAAAAGTGACCATCATTATATGTTTTTGGTGATGTGAATAGTTTTAAAACTGGCAACTTATTGTCTAGTGTACTTGTTTTGACAGCAACACTTTCAACATGACTCCTTTCCGTTGTATGAAAAAAAGACGTGTGAAATTTAAAAAATATGGTCATGTGGTTGGTGATTATGGATGACAGAAAAATTGTAATGAACCACACCCAGAAACAGAAAATACTGTAGGAAATATGAACCTTAGTGAGATTTATAGACAGAGTTACCACTTGCAAGTGAAATAATATGTGCTCAGATTTTTCATTGAGGAAGTTTGTTGCAAGTACTCAATTTGCATATATTGATCTCAAACCTGTTTTGTGATAACCACTTCTAAGACAGTGACATTAAAATTTAGTAAATTTTTCCTTGCACTATGACAAACTACGATTGCCAAATTTGGTTCAAATTATTCAGTTTTAAATATCTGACTATCAAGTATGTAGTGCAATTAAGGCAGTATATCTTCCTGGCATGATGATGTAGTTATGTTAAAGACTGATGAAGGATTTACATTTCTGCATACTAGATATTTTATATTTCACAGATAGCATTTATTATATACAAAATTCTGAGTAATATCAATATTTTATTCTTGCTGAAAATGACCTTTGATAAAACTGCTTACTTCTATCTAATCGCATTCTTCTACTTAATTTTCATTTGCTTGATCCATTCTGAGAGAATTATTAATGCATTGCACACTTTGGTTCAATTCCTGGCAGGCACAGGAATTTTTGTCTTCTCCATCATGTCCAGACTGACTGTGGGATCCACCTTGATTCTTATCCATTGAGTACCAGATTTGATAAGAAAATTCTACAAATGTAGACATCATAATTAGTGCCAGCAACATAAGAACTGTTAAAATTTCTCAGTAAACTGAAGCATAAGAATGAAACAGATGGCTGTCTTCTGGGTTGTGCCGTGTAGTCTGGTAGAATATTACCAACATTTCAGAGGTCCGTGCTACCTCTATCATCAGCGTGATGACGGTGCTACAAGTCAGAAGACAGCCCTGTTCATACTCAGTGCTGTAAAAATTTCAATTCCTATTCCAGCAAGTACAACTGGAAAATAAATATGAATAGTTGCAAACCCTGTTGACAGTATATTAACCATGTCTGTCTGCTACGGTAAAAGAATGCAGAGAAAAGCTCATTAAGAAATACAGCATATATTTTTCTAGTCCCATTGCAATATAATAGTGTTATATGATTTGAAAGAAAGCAATAATTATCTTTACTGTTATTTCAGGCAAAGCTGTTCTCAGGTTGGTAAGGAAGGGATTATTTATTTACTAGAGTAACGGCAGAAACTGAGAAAATCAGGTATTTTATGCAAGGATTTTATTTAATGGTCCTTCTCATTGACGAGGTCGATAATGTGGGAAAAACAGCCGGTGTTCTTCCAAGATTCTCTAGGAACTGCTGCTGTCATAAATATGTGATGTTCTTTTTCAGCTGTTTTCCTCCACTTCTTCTGTTCTACTGTTTTCTCATTGGGCAAAACTAAGGAACACATTAATTTGTTATATCAAAATATATTGAAATAAGTCCACACAGTGTCACAACCTAGGAAAGAAATAGGGTTTTGGGAGTGAGGGGTATTTTGTATTTATCTGGCTGAGAACAGGGACCAGTGGCTCTAATAAACATAATTAACCTTCATATTTCATAAAAAAACAATAAAATCCTTCAATCTGACAGCTGGCTCTACAGGCTCCAAACCCCACACAGAATATGCTTCCTGTTATTTTTCTGTTTGGTTTTTCTCAAACTGTCGGTCTGCATAGAGCAAGGAAAACTTACAGATGCAATGAACCTGAATGAAACCTACATTAATTATGTAAAGCTTATGCCAGTAGCGACTATTTGTATCACCGATGATATTTGACTAATACGTTTGGAACTGTGGTTCCAAAACAGTATGTATAAACAGTAAATTCATAAAATTTGGTCATCATTTATTTTGAATTTGAAATTTTCCTAAAGAGCATTTATTTTTATATACTTGGGTGGGAAATTACAGGAAAAAAAAAAGCATGTGACAATGTTATAGGCTCAAATTATACATATATGCTTGTGAGCCAATTATTCCTTCATTTAATATGTGATTCCATAAAAGATTAATTTTTAGTATGTACGTTTATAATTTTATTGGGACTTATTAATAGTAATAAGTGTACAAAATTTGTATATAGATATTTAGAAAGCAGGAATAGTTTGCAGTCAGGTTAAATTGAATCTGTGGAGCAGATATTGCAACTCTACAGTCATAATCTCGTGGTGATGTTACACTGTATTTTATATTGTTACTGTTTTAGATATAAGAAATGGTGGTCCTTCAGTGGGCCAGTTATACATACTAAAAAGTTGAACCTGTAAATAAGTAATTCAGGTTACAATGATATGATAAAGGAGATATCTACGTTCTGGTATGCTCATAGTTAGAGCACACTAGAGCACTATTTTCTATTTTAATGTTTTCAGAGGGCTCATCTTTGAAACATTCAGTAATAGAAAATAAAAATTACTCATTACATAAATTAAAAACATTTGGTTTTCTAACAAGAATATGAATGCAAGGAGCATAAAATGCATAATTTATGGACTGTTGTGAGTATTCTAATGCCAAAATTATGTTAGGATAGAATTATATTTCCTTGTGTATAAATTAAATTCAGCTTCACAGTGTGAAGTAAATGGAAGGATTAGAATGAAGCTAGTTCAGGGTGGTGTTGTTGAGTTCAAAGAGTTGGTGCTATGGTTACTAGGACAGTTGGGCACAGCTGGTAAATACAACAGAGTTGTTATTCATGTTCCATTCAAGGCCACTACATAGCAAGTAATATTATTGCTGTCAATAGAAACATAATACACTAAATTCTTTGTACATACATATTATATGTTGATTACAAGTGTTATGTTCCATAGTAGATTTCCCCTATAAAATGACTGTGTGCATGGGTAAAGGATGGATGTTTGCACATAACAGTGACAACAAATGCACCTTGTTCAAGTAAATGCCATCAGTTGTCTGGTAAGTCCATTGTTGTTTTACATCATGATACATAAACCTCTTGCATACATGTTTTGGTAGTGGCTGTTTTACCCTGAACCATATCTCATGACATTGTATGAAGATTACACAACACTGAAAAACAATCTTTAAAATTATAATAAATTTTACCAAAATTATTATGAATATTACTTATAAAAGAAAGTAACACAACATAAAACACAAACACATGTCATGTCATGAATATATTTGTTAAGTTTTTTCATATGTATTACAAATTCTTGTTAGTTATAATATGTAATATAAAGTTCATAAGTGTGATAGGCGTCTTTGTAAAAATGGTAGCAGCTTGGATAACAATTCCCATCTGCCTCCATTTTCAGTCATACAATAAATAAATAATTAAATAATAAATTTAAAAATAATAATAAATGAGCTCAAAACTTTTATCATGTATGTACTATAAAGGAGTTGAGTATAAGGAAATGGGGTACAAACATCTGGAATGCTATTTTCTTCTGGATTCTTCTTTGCTGTGTAAGATTTCTTCAACTGTAAAAGTCTACATTAGGCCTAATTAAGCTTACTATACTTCATGATTGCATTAATTCATCCAGCCAGCAGTAAAAGAAATGTCCATGGTACCTTTGTGAACTCCAATGTTTAACCATGCTCAAATCTTTTAGGATAATAATCATCCAATTGAAATTAATTGCTGATGGGCTTCAAGTTCATTAAATATAAAAAGTTTGATTTTCATCTTGAACCTGATTTCTAATTCCTTTTAGGTGAAGCATTACATGCTATCAGTATTACAGTTTGCTGTTGTCCTTATTCTCAAATATGATAGAATAAAACACAAATTTTACAATTCTGATCAAAATATTCTGCATTCTTCATTCGTAATTTAACAGAAAGTGGCATGATTCCATGACTAAGACCAGATATTCAGAGACAGTAGAAACATGCTTAATTCTGACATTGTTTAGCATCCCTCTTAATCAATCAGCAACCTCCTCATTACTTTGACTTACAATGTCTTGTAGTATTTAACTCCAGTTGTCAATATGTACAACAGTAAGTTTAAAATAAAAATTATATTAAATGTTAAAATAAGCACAACAGAACTGAAGAACTAAAGAATATAGCATTATCCAAAAACTGGAGTCTTGCATGAATTAAAATTTTGATTTTGGTATACATTTTAACACTCCCATTTTGTAGTCCAATGTTAATGGAAATTCCCTTTCATTGCATCGAATTGATATTCTTACGAAAAATTATCTCTTTCCTCATACCTGTATCTTTGTTTTTCTTAATGCATAATTTACATCATTCATAAACTGATTCTGTTTCGAAACATTTAACTGTCCATTAGTTTAGCTCATATTAACAGTATGACATATAGCCTAAGCAGTTTTCACAACAATATGTCTCATAAGCCAAACTTACATTTTGCAATATGTCTTGTTTAGTTGTGACATAATTTGCCTGGACACAGGAAGTGCAGAACAGAAGCATGTGGTGTGGGGGCATAAGAAAAGAAAAACAAATGCACATTTCCATATATTTGTCTTATTTTCTCCTGCATGTGAATATTTTACTTAAAAGTTAAATACTATGCATTGTAAATTTTCATTTCCAAAACTTTCAAAATAATATTTTTATTGACTTAAAATATTAAAGCTACTCCTATATCATATGCAGCATATTGGAACATATCAGACTTATAACAACTAAAATAATTTTGTTGCTTTCCAAATAAACGGCATTTAGAATGTTTATTTTAAAGCAGGGAATTGAATCTGTTAACTGCAGCTCCCATCTTCAATACCTGGTGAGCTGGTCAATAGTTATTAAGCACTGATACACAATAGCTGAAAAGCCACCATACTTGATTTACCACTGGGATGGCTGAATTGAAATATTTGTATTCTTTTAATGTACATCTAAGAATATTTTAATTTTCTGCTGTTAAAAAATGTAATTCAGTATCATATCAAGTCATGATCTTTAGTATGTCAAATTGTAATTATTACTTTTATAACTTTGTTATGGAACTATAGGCTCCTTATACTGCAAAAACAATTTGGGAGGGGTGGGAATTTGATAAATGCTGTGTTTCACGCTACGAAGTCAGGGTTCATAAAGCCTACAAAGCCCTATTGTAACATCACCTATTGCTATAGTACTGTTGTGGTTTAATAAAATAATTGCTTTTAGCCTACCATATAAATATCTTATTGTAACTAAATTCACAGGATTTTTTTTCTGAATGTTATAGTGTCTACTGTCATTGAATGCAAAAATTCTGTACAGAATAAAATGAATTACATTTTTTATTTGGAATTATCTTCTTTTTCTTCTAGCATTATTTGTTTTATAAGCATTGGTGGACAAAACTTCTCAGCAAGGCAAAAGTAGATGGAAATAATACTTTCAAAACATTGAAAATCTTCAGAAAGAAGGATTGTGTTTAATTTTGAAATTATATTTTTGTTTAATTTCTATATGTTTCTAATTCATTCTTGCAAGAATATGTCTCTGGAACTGGGCTGCCAACAGGATGAATGTCCATCCTCCAGATAATACATGAATAACTACAGAGCAGTGGTACAATGATACAAGACAAAAGTGAAAGACTCAAATAAAAAATTGTGCCAGTGCCACTTTCTCCACCACAAATCCCACATGTACTGACCAGGATGTGAACCCAGGTCTCCATGGTAAGAAACTAGCAACTAACTGCCTGAGCTATGGCATGACCAAACACTCCACTTTTGGCAATAACTAGAATATAAGATTGAATTTGACTGCACTGTATATGGAATTGTTATCACTTGAATAACACTCCAGAATAATTTTAACAAGTGTTTAGAGCAAGTTATGCATATTTGATTCTGAACATCTGTGACTTCAGACAAAATCCGTCATCCCCTGTAAACTATAAGCAATGTTTGCAGCTTTTCACCAACAAAAATAAGTTACGATGGAAATACACTAACCATCCAGGTTAGCTTAGTAGCAGAGCACATTCATTTCAGAGGCTTGTGGTTCAGATCTTAGTTACTGTCAGTTATCCTGACTGACTGAGCCTATTTTTTAGGGTTACTTAATCTCTTCAGCTAACCACCAAGATAGTACCAAATACGAAAAGAACCATATGCCGTTTATCATTTTCTTTTCCTTTAATTGTCAATACTTAATTATAACATTAATTTAATTGCTCACTAGCTATAATGAATTTACCACATATGAATAATGAAGCAAAAGAGATTCACAAACTTACGTACATAATAGTAGTTATAATGAATTTTAAAATTTTAGAACGAAGTAGTAATTGCAATCGACAATCGAGTCGATTAGTTGTCGACACCTATCGAACAAGTCGGTTCTCGTTATGCATTTGATTGATGTTTACTAAAGACGTTCAGTGTGACGATGTAAATGCAATTATTGGTTGTTCAACATAGGTAATGATAGTGTAAAGTAATTTTATATTTGTCTACTTACATAAACATTCGTTTGCAAATCAAATTGATACACATTTTGCGATCTATTAATGCTGTAATTACGTGCATTAAATTATATTAATTTTGTGACAATTTTTTTTATCTTTTAGAATACATTGAAGCTTTTTAAACATGCACCGAAAGATTGATTTTGTAACGATTAGAGCTTGATATTTAACACTTCTTAGATGTTAAAACTCTTGCATAGTTAAGGTTATGTCATTTGGGTGGTTTGTACGTTCTGTATTGCAAGTATGACTTAATTTGGTTTTTATGCAGGTTATGCTATGTGTCTCTGATTACGTCTCGTCTTAGGGCAGTATGTCATATATATTATGCACATTTTCAGAACTTGAAAGCAGCTGGTTTCGAAATGCAAGTGGAGAAATATAACACAACAGATTTTCAATTGTATTATAGTTCTGTATTTTCAGTACTCAGAATCTTAAACATACCTTTTTAAGGTTTTGCTGAACAAGAATGGCTCGTCAGATTGCTCATGTCTTAGAGGATAAACCTCGAACACAAGACGTGTTTATCAATGAAGATATTGACTTCACTGGAATGCTGTTGTCAGAGTTGACTTTAAAAGGTCTTTATAAAAGCGGATTTAGAAAGCCATCACCTATACAACTGAAAGCTGTTCCACTTGGAAGATGTGGTTTTGGTAAGACACTAATTCTGACTTCTTTGAACCTGAAGATCAATTTGTTGCACCAAAATATGTTTTCAGACTTAGTTGTTAACATAATGAGTATGATATTCTGAACTAGGCCAGTTATTTCAAAAAAAAATTTCATTGTATTTGGTCAGTTTCTTTTGGGATAAAAACTACAAAATTTTAACAAACTTAAAACATCTTCCTGTTGAAGAGAATGTTGTATTATTTGAATTTTCATGTACAGCTGACAGTAAAAATCAGGCTATCAGATCAATGCAACTGTTATGAAGAATTGCACATTATGGCCATAATCTTTTCAATGCAATTTATTGTTGTAATGTGGAAGATGCATTGTAAATCATCAACATGATAGTATTTCACCTTTTAATTTACCAAAATATGTTTGTCCACTCAAATTTAAGTATTATTTTGTTATGTGTCATATTTGGCTCTGAACTATAAATGTGCTTTTTACTCATACACTTACTAATGTACTACAGAAATTGTCAATATTTATGGTAACAACAGTACATTGTATACTATCCTTATCCAGTTTAACCCAGGTTTGTTGATCAGATGAGCCATAAATTTGATGTGATTAAAGAATAATGTTTTAATATTATTGGAATTATAATTTTAAATATCTGTAGTTGCATCTTGAATCAATGGTCAGTAAGATATTTAAAAAAAAAGTTATTAAAATCATTAGGCAATAATGAAAATCTTAGTTCACTGAAAGCTTTCATTGTTTGAAGTAAATATTTCTGATCATTGCTAGTATGGTAAATCTAGTATACAATTTCAATATTTTGTACTTTTATTTTCCAGACTTAATTGTGCAGGCCAAATCTGGAACAGGAAAGACGTGTGTCTTCACGATTGTAGCCCTAGAGATGTTGCATGTTGAAAGCCAGTGTTTGCAGGTGCTTGTCTTAGCTCCCACTCGAGAGATTGCCATTCAGATAAAACAGGTCATGAAGGATGTAGGTAGTGAAATGAAAGGTATGTTCTTATATTATATCTTTGGTATGTTACAATGTTTCCCAAGACCAACCAGTCCTTTGAGTGAGTTGGCATGGTAGAAATGCACATGACTCACGTTTTGGGGTATCCAGTTTGAATCTCAACTGGGTACTGGTTGTTTCGCTGTATTTTTTTATCAGCCTTTCTGGTTGAATGCTTACCAGGGAATTCAACAATATCATTCTCCCACATCCCTCCCTATTTGTCCTTTATAATCATCTTAGTTGGAAGTACATATCCTCAGTATTTGAGACAACATCATACAGTAAATAACTAGGTAACCAGATGAACAAACAAAGTAGTAATTTTCTTTTAGTTTTTATGGTTTCCACTGGTTCTATCACATGCTGAGATCATACTTGTAAGTATATCATATTAATTTCCCTGCAGTCCTTATTAATCCTGAAACTACCATCATCTGTGTAAACACTTCATCAAATGCATGCCTTTTGTATATTTGACTTGCAAATTTTGTTTTGTAAGCAAGTATTAACTTACTAAGTCCATGGAATCAAGTCCTTCTAGAGAATCAATAGTTTTTAGGTACTCAAGAAATTCTCTGCCTTTTATGGAACCTGAAGAGATCAGGGGGGTGGGGGAGAGGTCAGACTAAGACAGGTACCCTGGTCCTCCAGGTTGGGGGTTTGTCGCAAGGCTAACAACCTTGCACTGTAAAAAGGAAGATGTTTCGAAACCTTAATCAACGCCTCGGACAGACGGACCTAACAGAGGACTGAATGGAAGAGGAGAATTGAGGAGGCCATGGACCAAATATGGACCGGAGAGCCATAGAAGAAGAAGAAGAAGAAGAAGAAGAGATAATTTATCTCTGTCCTGAGCTAGATGAATGCAGTCCAGATATTCTACCCTATTTATTTAAAAACTGATTTATTTAATCTTTGTAATAGTGTTTGTTGAAGAGTACAAACACCCTCAGTTTGTGTTCTTCCCTAAAGAAGTGTTAATGTTGTTTACCTTTCAATTGCTAGATGATGTATAAGATCGAATACACGTATTTCAGTATCACAAAATATCTTTCAATATTTCAAGGTCTGAAGGTGCATTCATTCATTGGAGGTCTTCCATTTGAGGAAGACAGACAGAAACTTCAGCATTGTCACATTGCAGTCGGGGCTCCTGGAAGAGTCAAGCATCTCATCGAGAAAGGATGCCTAAAAACAGATAACATACGTCTATTTGTATTGGATGAAGCAGATAAGCTGATGGAACCTAGTTTCCTGAAGGATATCAAGTATGTGAATAGAAGTTTAAATTAATGTCAGTGACAAGGAAACAATAAATTCAGAATTTTGTAGATTGATATGAGAATATATAGCATCCACTTCCTTATGAAATATTTCTGATTTTTAAACAATTTGACGGTAAATTTATACATGTCATTAGTTGTAATCACTTCATTTAGATAGGTAACTTGTTGTAATTCAAACATCAGGATATTTTACTAATAGTATTCTCATGTTGCATTAATTTCAGCAACAAATTTGTCCTCTAATGCTCTATCTGAGTTTCATAATTTCACTGTTTATCTTTTTCATTTCTGTTCATACAACCTATGAAAACCTTTGGCTCTTACAATCTGCTGATGTGATAATCATTTAATTTAGAGTACTGATGGTTTAACAGTTACACATTGATTTCAAGAATTGCATTTTGTGTTCTTCCAAACAGCTACATATTTTCAGTACTGTCAGGCAACAAGCAGATGATTGCATTAAGTGCGACATATCCAGGTGAATTGGACGTGTTCCTTAGCCGTTATATGCGCTGTCCAACACGCGTGAGCCCAGGTCCAGGAGGGCCGGTATTATTGGGTCTCCGGCAGTTTGTATCCGTAGTACGCCCTCATCTGAACACAATGGTGCAAATAAAGTATAAAGTGCAGGAGTTGTTGCGTATCCTGTCGTCTGTTCCCTTCAGGCAATGCCTCATATTTTCTAATTATCAGACAAGGTATGTATAATTTAAACATTTATACACCACTTTGAGCCAGAGACAAAAAGGCAGTCAATGGAGTGGCATCATCCTCAATCACCGAGAAAGAAGAAATTCAAGACAACTCCCTCCGCCGGAAAAGTCATGATGACTGTCTTTTGGGACAGTGATGGGGTCATTCTTGTGGATGTGATGCCAAGAGGTGCGACCATCAATTCAGACGCGTACATCAGGACCCTGAAAACCCTCAAGAAGCGTTTTCGACGAGTTCGGCCTCACAAGCATCCAGCAGAAATTTTGCTCCTGCACGACAATGCACGCCCTCACACAAGTCTGAGAACCCGGGAAGAAATCACCAAATTGGGTTGGACGGTGCTGCCCCATCCACCCTCCGACTTTCATCTCTTTGGGCCACTTAAAGATGCTATCCGCGGAACAAGATTTGAAGATGACGAGAGCGTGATTCAAGCAGTGAGGACATGGCTACGTGCACAGGACAAGAGCTGGTACCGGCAAGGCATGCATGCCCTTGTTCCACGCTGGCGTAAAACCGTACAAGTTGATGGGGACTATGTGGAAAAATAGTATGTGTAAAGGAAACATTGATTTATATTGTCACTAAATTTGAGCCATCTTGAATAAATATGTTCTGAGGAAAAAAATGTGGGGCATTACTTAATGAGCGACCCTCGTAGAACCTGAAGGTTTGACAATTCTAAAACCAAAATTTCAGAGAACTGGGAGATGAGAAATCTCTGACATTTTCTATCTGTCCACTCTCTCTCCAATTTTTTGCCAGCTGTTTCCTCTCTCCTTGAATTCTTCAAGTACCAGGGTTAACAGTTTTCTTCTGGGTCACCCCACAGATCTCTTTTCTTTAAATTTTTATTCTAATGCCCTTCTTATTATTTAAAGATTTAATTTCTAATTCTATTCATTCTTGTCTTTCCCTCAATCCCTATGAACAATTTCAGATCCATTGCTTGGATTTTACTTATAGTAGGTCTGAGGCGTGGGCCTTGTGCCGCTGGGACCGTGGGTTCGAATCCCACTGAAGCCATGGATGTTTTTCTGTGTTGTGCTGTCCTGTGTACAGGTAGAGGCCTTGCGATGGGCCGATCCCTCGTCCAAGGAGTCCTACCGAATGTCTATAGATCAAGCCAACGAAAAGTTGGGACCCGCAGTGCTCAGGCACTTGAAGAATGGGTCGTTCCCAGTATCCCAGGTCTTATTTATTACTTTATTTAGCTTTGACCTCCATGTTAATATTTTATCCAGTGTTAATCTAAGGTATTTGACTTCTGAGGTCAGGAGGCTTTTGTGAATACTAGTTGAGCAAACTGTTGACTTCACAAGAACTCTGTGCTTTTTTTAGTTAGTTGGGGGTGTATTCCCAGAGGACCCTTTAGTCTTTTTTCTGGTGAAATGCATGTGTCAGCTGTTGCTATGTTTTGTACAAATCCCATTGTATTTTGACCCAAGTACATCTAACCAACAAGATGTATACATTTTATTTTTGTCATTTTTTAATGTGAGTAATTGCTAACATCAGTTTCACGCCTACAGCAGTGGCTTGCATTACACAGGCTGCAGCACAAATAACTATGTGGTAGCTTGCAATGTACCACTCTGTATTTATGAGACTTGTAGCATAAGTAAAGACTTTCATTTCTTTGATTCTAGAGCTCAGAGCATCTGCAATCATTTGAAAGCATTGGGATGGGCTGCGATATGGTTGACGGGGGGACAAGACCAGCACGACCGTCTTGAAGCCGTTGCAAGCCTCCGTGAGTTTCGTTGCCGGGTACTTTTGTCAACAGATCTTACAGCGAGGGGAATAGATGCAGAGAATGTAAACCTGATCATTAACCTTGACATACCTCACAGTGGTGCAACATACTTGCATCGCATTGGAAGGGCTGGACGGTATGGTTCTCATGGTATAGCAGTATCGCTTGTAGCTGATGGTAAGGAATTAGCTCAGTTTAGGAAAGTTTTGGGAACAATTGGTGAATCAATGAGTGTTGCTAAATTACCAAGTGATGTAATTCCAACAGATTTATGGCACTGTGACATATCAAGCCTTGAAGAAGTGCAGGGTATTGCTTCAGAAGGTGATACAAAAGATGATAACATAGATACAGTTGGTAGTAAGAGTAATCAGAGAGGCACAGCAAGAAAGAAGGATAGAAAACCTATGAATGGATCGTGTAAGGGCAAAAAGTTGCAGAATAGAGAGAAACTACACAGAAAGAAGAAAAATGAAAGTTGGAGTGACGAATCTGTAGAAAATGATTATAATGTCAGAGATTTGATGAAGGAAGTGAGTAAGATGTCCTTGTTAGCTCATGACAAGAAAGATGAAGGCAAAGTAGTGGAAAGAGAAAGGGCACTTTGTGACTTGGCCATGACTTTGACACAAGAAACTCATTCCGATTTAAAACTGGACACATTTGAAGACTTGTCACATTCATTGGAAAACTTTATTAATGACTCAGACACACAAAGTGTAAATTTCTCAACAGCAGAATCTGCAAATATTGCAGATGAACTTGAAATGTGTAGAGTTTTGTGTGATATGATACAAGATGACATCTTTATGATGACTAACAAACTGAAAGAAGAAACAAAGAATTGGAGCACTGAAAGTTTGTTAGAGCACTTAGTAGATGGTCTTCCATGGCCAGAAGCAGATCCTGAACCTTCAAGATCATCCAAAAATCAAAAAATTAGTTGTCAGTATGTAGATGCTTCAGAATCTGTAGAAGCACCTAATGAGACACTTTCTTCAAGGAAGAAGGGTCTCCCAAAAATGAGTGATGATGACAATAATGTCTACAGGAATCAGTATGCAAGTGAATATGATGATAAGTTCAATAGCAGTTTATCTTTAGGACATGAAAGTGAAGCTTCTTTGTTATGGTGTGAAGAGTCGGATCTCGAAACCAGTATATCAAGAGGTTCAAACCCAGGATCCTATATGATAAATGAAAAGCATTCACAGTGGAATTACAGTGATGTATACAGTTATGCACAGTATTATAATTACCCATGGTTACATTCATACAGTGATTACTACAGGTTGAGAAATGACTGTCAAGGAGAGAATAATGATGTTGGTTTGTATGATAAGAATGAATATGAATGTAACATAGAAAGACACAGGTATTACAACATATGGAGAATGCATTTGCAACAAATAAGACAGTATATTCAGTACACGGAATATTGGAAACATATGTTCAGTAATTTTTAGGTTTACTGTTTGGTATACGTCTGCTTAGGTGAGTCAAAGTTGGAAGAGGCTATGTAATTGTTTTGCAGAATAAATTGAATTCTACATTGTGTTAATTATTTATTTTTCAGAGGAACATACTGCCACTTTCTTCAATATTGCAGCCTAACTTATGATACATAAATTACTTTTATGTTATGTTACTCCCTAGATATGAACACTTTGAATAGCTGTTTACTATAACATAAATTTTATACCTTCATCTCTGAATTCTGAGGTAAGTAAGGAATGATTTTTTATGGAATTATACATTACTATGTAAGTTTTATTAAACATTAAAATTTACCGCTTGATTTTAGCAGGCTGTATTACATAATTTTAGATACAGCTTCACGTATATCATTGCACTCTATCAGAGAGATTTAGATGGTAAACAGGAAGCGACATGGAAATCATTCTTTGTAGTGTCCGACTTCGTCAATAGATGGTTCTTGTGTTACGTCTACCCAATAGTACCCTCTTGTGGGAAGTATTTGCGTTAGAGATTTTATGCAGAAAAGTGTGTTGGTTTTTAGTGTCTTGTAATGGTTATAAGTGTGGTCGTTTAATAAATCTGTGTTACTGTAATTTTCCGTACGGTTTTTAATCGTTCTTACTATTATTCGTCACGTGTTTTCCGTGCGTAAATTCATTCCTGTCGAGTAGTGATTTCCTCACGTGCGCAATGGCGGCGGTAGCAGGAACATCTTTCGAAACTGTGATACCACGAAAAAAATTCAAAGAACTTCCTATATATATCGCCGAAAATCATAATGAGGTATTTACTCATTTTTATTTTTAATTGCGGATTAATTTTACATGCATGGTTGGGTAAGACCCATTTATGTTTCTGGATATTTTCATGTCTTTTAATTTGACAGTATGTGTGTGGAAACCACGTGGTTGGTATGACATTTGATTTGGCTAAAAAATTAGCCTATATCCTTTTTGTTTCAGAAACGTCATTGTTCGATGTGAATGTCTTAATATATGTACAACTTAATAGGTTCATTTTTGCGCACCTTTAAGCAATTCCTTTATATGTAAAATAACATTAATCACATGGCATATCTAATGCAATTTCACTCTGTATAGTTCGAGCAAGAATTTTGTGCCCATTTCAGTACAGAATTAACAATATAAAGATACAGCGACTAGAACTGTATATCTAAACAGTTACCACGTGTTTGTTATGGGGTTTTGTGCTGTCTTCCATGTTAACAAAAGGTTTACCCTCCAAGATTAAAACAGTAAATTTAGATGTCAGATTTATTGAATCTGGAAAGTTCTTTCTTATGGCTGACAGCAACACTTCTTAGAGCACTCAATATAAATTTATTAAATTTTAAGAATAAAGGGGCAAGCAAAAAATTAACGTTTAAATTCATCACAGTTTCTGTTGTCATTCATATTATTTTAAAAAATTGTAAAGGAATGTGGATGTTAGTATGAATGGACTCACCATACACATATGATAACTTCTGAACATGTTCCTTACTCCTGCTGCTTTGTATCACACTGCTGTTAAACTGTTTTATTATACTTAATATTTTAATAATTTAGGGACAGAGGAGGCATATTGTTGCTTCTCCATGTTGAGTCCTGTTTCACAAGAACATGTTGCAGATGGAAGAGACAGCTACAGTTGTGGAGGGTAGCTGTGAATATATTTTGTAATCAGTTGCAGATGGTCAACAGAGGGTGGTCCTTCAGCTTGGGGGTTGGATGGGACAGCTAACAAGCTCTACCATATAAAAACCAGAATGTTATGAAATGTTATATTGGGGTTCATACTTGGATGGATTCTTTGTTTGTTATTATTTCTGCTAATTTTACTGTTTGATGTAACAGAGTGTGAATGTAATCTATACTTTTGCTGTTTGAAACATGTCCAATATTGGAAAATAAAATAAAATAAAACATGTATATGAACCTGTGAATTTGTACAACTTCCTATTGTTATGTGGAGATGGACAATGTAATGTATTGTTAAAATACTACCACAACATAATTCTTAAACACAATATTAAGAAAATACCATGTTTCTGTAGCTATTAATTTATAAAATATGTAAACTTATTGATAGAAATTCTGAAGATACACAGTGTTGTTTTAAATTTACAGAAGTGTACAAAAATGTACCAAGAAAGGAAAAAAGGAGTTCTTTAAAAATGAGTTATTGCAAGTAGGTTGCTGAAAGCATGTACTTATGATCAGATGAAGTCCTGCGTAATGCCTCAAAACACTTAGGCATAGGCTGGCTGATAAAGACTGGTTTCAGTTAATGTACACACAGGGCAGGTGGGTACTCTACCCATTTATTTGAAAAAACAGATAAAAGTCAGAATGTGAAATTTAATTTTTTACTTTTTTTCAGAAACTGGTTAACATACAAGAAACTTATACTTTTACAGCACTAGATGATTATTAATTTTTAGAATCAGTGTATCTAAACTGTTACTTCTATATTTGTTTATGTAAAATCGTATCTCTGAATCTTTATTTTTCCTGTTTTTTTTAAGGATTTATAATTGAGGTTAGGTATTGAAATATTATAGTTTAAAGCTGTCTGTTTGGTATATGTAATTGCAAGTAGAAATTTGTGAACTGTCAATTTTGTGAGGCTTTATTTCGGATGGAGACGTGTGTCGTGACAAGCTACTCTGATGGAAACAGAAACTGTTGGTGAAGCAGTAGAAACTGATCGTCCGAATTGGAAATTGTGCCACCATATGAAACATTATTTACTTATACTAAGCTAAAATTATTTTTTCTTGTAATTTCTCGTAGGTGTTGCCATTCATTTATCGATGCATGGGATCGAAACATCTTCCCTTGGAAGGAAATACCATAATACACCTTGACTCACATCCTGACATGCTTATTCCTAAAGGTATGCCAGCTGACACCGTCTGGGACAAGCATGAGTTGTTCAGGTGTGTATTCTTTCTTATAAACTTGTTTAGTTTCAATGCGTTTATCGTTCATATGCACTTACTGATGTTTATAGGTTATGTTATAATATTGTGAATGGTAATGATGAAGTCAGTGCATGCAATGGAATGACTATATAAATATCAAAGTCCTCTGAGTATTATGAATGTTCTTAATAATGCAAAGTGAGAAGATTAAGTTAGATTGGCGCAGTGATTTGATCTAATTGTAGCACATCTGACACACACTTTGGAGGTATCTGGTTCAAATCGCTGCTATTGGCCTAGCAATCCTAGCCAGTGGTTTCATATTTCTTAGTGCCTCTCATAAATGTCAGGAGGCCAGTATCTTAAAAGATACCATGAATGTTTCTTCACAATTCGTCGTTTGTAATTATCATTCGGTATATGATTATCTTACTGTCTCAATAGTTGTTACAGAATCATAAAATAATTCAGAAAGCAGCCAAGGTGGAATTTTACTTATTTGTTACACTGGGAATGTAGTTTAATGCGTAATTGGCTATCGGATGAAGAAGCAGATTTCGATTCCATTCTTTTTCCTTTCCCGTTGTATCTAGACCTGCTCTGCAGTCCATCGAGCCTAAACCCCAGTGGGCTTTATCATTGGATTTTAAGCAGCTGGGTGATCCAGGGTAGCTCAGCCAGTTTTGTGTCTGACTACAGAGTCGATGGCAGGGTTTGGCCCCTGGCGGGAGTGAGTGATTTGTCTTCTCATCCTTGCATTTAGACCGTTTCCAGCGACCACCCAGTATTTTGTCCAATGGGTACTGATGGTCATTTTGCTGGTGTAAAGCACTATTGGGGCATGACACTGACCACTCACCCCATCTAGTGCTGAGGCCACCCAAAGCTCCTCCATGTCATGTAGCAGGACAACTTTATTTGCAAACCAATTGGGGAATGAAGATGATTGCCCGCATGTGCTGAATGATAAAGTTAAAAAATGCATATAGTTCCTCCACTCCCTCCATGCGTCTTTATGATATTCTACTTGGGCACAGGGATAGGCAGTTGTAGTTGAATGTGTGATTAGACAGAAAAAATCGAGTTCAGTGCTTTGCATAATGTTCTGAATAGGTGAGACGGGGAAAGGGAAACATCGTCGCCGTGATTTATTTTAAAGAAACCCCATTCATAGTAGTCTGTAACAAAATACCTGTTCCACTTCACGTACTTCAATATGTCAATTAGCAGTGATGAATAAGAACTGCTTTCAGATCTTCCAAGCACACTGCAGACATAATAATCACTCCGAGACAGTCGTTTTGTTGATTTTAGATTGGAGTCAACACCTCGAAGAATGATATTTACACAAATGTCTAGGTGTGTCTTATATACAGATTTTAGCACTGACGAAAGCCAGATTAGTTTCTTTTAGAGTCACTGACTAATATTAATTGTCTTTGTCATACCACAAGTAAATTTATCGATCTGTTATGTCATGGCATCCAGTTGGGTGAGGCCAAAAATTACTCTGATCTTCTGTTTACAGGCTAGCGTATGTTTATTAAGTTTCTTATATAACAGAAATATTAGTAATGTTAGGATTGTAATAAATCATGTAGTGACCCATATACAATGGGAATGTTGTATATAAATATCAATTATAAACTGTTTATAGTGGAAACCAACGTTATATTTTTATTTAAATGGTTTTAACAAGTTATTTGGTTCTCTGAGCATTATATAGTATAGACGCTTATCCCAGCGTTCGTATCATTTTACTGTTCTGACGATAGCCGTTTCTAGTTACTGGAGTTGTGAAGATTTACTTCTGCTTGATGTAGGACTTCCGTGTGGATGGAACTGGCAGAGTGATGAATCAATCGGTTATTCTTTCTTCGTTACCAGCCGGTTTCGTGTTACGTTCTTATTAAGGCTGTGTCTTAACGTTCCGTGTTCCTGACTTTCAACCAAGAGTTATGGGGAAAACTCCTAAATTAAATTATCGAACAGAACGTACAGATGGATTGGGAGGCTTGGGGTTAGAATTGTTGGCTAACAGGTAGATACCAGTGTTTCTTTGAGACTTTTCTTTTTCATTTTTGGGGCTGAAGATGGAAACAGTGTCCCGCGCGGTCTGAGGCATCGTGCTTCGGACCGGTGATACGGAATGCGCCCTGGTTCGAGTCTCGGGGAAAGAAATTTCTCATGAGATTTTCGACCGGTGTCAACCCAGCGTCGTGAGGAAATTGGGGAGCTACAATGGGTAGCGTAATCCGGTCAGGAAAACTAGCAATGGCTGGGGGTTCGTCGTGCTGACCACACGTCACTCTGTATCTGGTTGGATGATCGTTCACCTCTGCTTAGGCATCTGAACGTGAGGCCAGCAGTCAGCTAGTCGGCTTTGGCTCTCAGAGGGCTATTACGCAACGGATTATTTAGATGGAGACAGTGTGGTCTTCTGGGTTGTAACGCCATGTAGACTTGAATGTAGAAACCATTCTGTCTTTTCTTTAGGACTGAAAATGCAGAAAGTGTGTTTCTCCTAAACGTTGACATGTACAAGTCCAGACGGTGTTACAACCTAGAAAACCAACATCGATTGTATGCTTACTTGTTAATATTAAAGAATCAGTCTATGCTACGGTGCATTCTGGTGTCCATCAGTTTCAAGTTTTGGAAGCATGAGTCAAGTACCCCGATCTCACTGGACGTGTGTGTGAGGAACGGCCTTAAGAGCTTTGTTATTCTTTTAATTAGGATTTCCAGGCACGTATAAACATCAGCCCAGCGCCTTCCTGCTGGCTGTCGCTGAGAATGATGTATGTTACACCTGCTATGCTATTCGGGTGTGGTACCCATTTCATCTACATGACAGCAAGAAAGTAAGAGAACGCAATGACGTGAGATGGGAAGGGAACGAGTAGAAGGTACAGGAAAGTGTTTATGAGCCTTCCCGTTTTACCTGTTTTCCATGCCTGCAATTTTTGTGGAGACATTGTCTTAAGTAATGTTTTGTTCTCGTTGTGTTTGAC